TAATAATAATAATAATAATAATAATAATAAACCTTTATTTGTACCCTGCTACCATCTCCCGAAGGACTCAGTGTGGCTTACACAAGGCCGAGCCCAAATACAACAATAAAACAACAACCACAATAATACAGCAAAATAAAACAAAAAGGAAAGAATTCCGAGGGCCCACTTTACTGCTATACAGGCAGTCCCCGAGTTACAGACATCCCACTTGCAAACGATTCATGGTTAAGAACGGAATTGTGCTACCCAGCACAATTCAAAGCGGCGGCTTTGTCCTATAAAGCCCCAGGTAATAGTGTGAAAGCTGGGTCAAGAATCTCTGAGCATTAGGCTGTTTCTGCATCGCCCCTTCGGGAGCGCTGTTTGCGCAATGCAGGACAACACAAATTCAGGGTGAGGCAGCATAACTTCCTTTTTTCAAAACTTAATAAAACCCATTGTATGAATCAGATTTTTTATATATATATACTGTAGGCGCATACCTAACATTTTGTTTTACGTAGTTTTGAAGATCAAATTAGGTAGGTGGCGTCCCCCATTCTCCATACACTTAGTAAACCAATTTCTGGTGTTATGTCATGACTCTTGCCAACATAGCAGGTGTTATGTTGGCAATTTCCTCCTGGATGTTGGTCTTCAAATCTTGTAGGGTCCTTGGACGGTTCACATAAACACAAAATTTTAACAAACCCCATAGAAAAAAATAACAAGGAGCCAAATCTGGAGAGCAGAAACAGCGTAAAGCTCAGAGATTCTGGACTCAGTCCAAATCCGCTCAAAAAGTAGGCCTCGACGGCAAAAGCATGCTCCTCACTGTTCCAATGTATGATGGCGACTGAACTGTGTCAGGTCAAAAATTTATACTCCCGCCTCTCAAACGAGACCACTAGCACTCCGCTATGTCTTCAACCGACTGAACGGTGCGCATTTTAAAAAAGGAAGTTACGCTGCCTCACCCTGTATTAGAAAAGGGATGTAAGAGCTCTTTAATGGTAAAACCCTTACCTGAACTTTAACCCTAAACCTAAACCTTACCCTAAGCCTAACCCTAATCCTAACCTTTACCCTAAACTTTATCCTAACCCCTCCTTTCTATCCCTTCACCAAATGCAACTATGAAGTATATTTTCTCCTTCCCTTATTCACAACCGCCATTGTGGAATTTGCATAACGCTCAGCGTTTCTGGACCCAGCTATCATACTATCATCAAGCCCCAAACTAGTGGTTCTCAACTTGTGGGTCCCCAAATGTTTTGGCCTTCAACTCCCAGAACTCCCTAACAGCTGGTAAACTGGCTGGGATTACACCTGGGGATCCACAGGTTGAGAACCACTGTCCTAAGGCATTCCTCATAGGGCTTGGTTTCCAAACCCTTTATCATTACAGTAGTCACATCTACTTGGATAAAATCAATAGTCATCTATAAAATTGACCCTGAGGGCTACAGCAGGAAGAAGAAATTGTCAAAGTTGCACTCCTCCCTATTTTTCTAAGTGGAGTCTGCTGGATAAAAAACAAAACAAAAACCCTATCACTTTTCTCCAAGCTAAACATATCCTAAGGCAGTGGTTCTCAACCTGTGGGTCCCCAGATGTTTTGGCCTTCAACTCCCAGAAATCCAAACAGCTTGTAAACTGGCTGGGATTCCTGGGAGTTGTAGACCAAAACACCTGGGGACTCGCAGGTTGAGAACCACTGCCCTAAATGGTTCCGGACCAGCTTACCTGTCTGAACATATCTCTCTCTATGAATGATTTTGGAGATTAAGATCATCGGGAGAGGCCCTGCTTTTGATCCCAGTATCTTCGCAAATGCGACTGGTGGAGATGAGAGACAGGGCCTTCTCAGTGGTGGCCCCTTCGGATGTGGAACTCCCTCCCTAGTGTCAATAAATCAGTCCCCTCCCTCTAGCCTTCATAAGGAGAGTAAAAACCTGACTCTGAGATCAGGTTTTTGGAGAATAATATAATTGGAATATGTGCAATGACTATGGCCTTGTTGTTGTTTATTCATTCAGTCACTTCCGACTCTTCATGATCTCATGGACCAGCCGACGCCAGAGCTCCGTGTCGGTCGTGGCCACCCCCAGCTCCTTCAAGGTCAAGCCAGTCACTTCAAGGATACCATCAGTCCATCTTGCCCTTGGTCTGCCCCTCTTTCCTTTCCCAGCATCATTGTCTTCTCCAACCTTTCCTATCTTCTCATTATGTGGCCAAAGTGTTTCATCTTTGCCTCTAATATCCTTCCCTCCAGTGAGCAGTCAGGCATTATTTCCTGAAGTATGGACTGATTGGATCTTCTTGCGGTCCAAGGCACTTTCAGAGTTTTCCTCCAGCACCACAGTTCAAAAGCGTCTATCTTCCTTCGCTCAGTCTTCCTTATGGAATGGCCTTAGACTACGATTTTGGATGGCATGATTTTAATATCGAATGTAATTTTAAAATGTTTAATAATAATTTCAATTCAGTTGTTGTTAAGCTTAATGCTTGTATGTGTTTAAGGCATTAGATAATTGCCATATGTAAGCCGTCTTGAGTCTCCCTTGGTATAGAGAAAGGCAGTCTCCCTTGGTATAGAGAAAGGTATAAATTGGGTAAATAAATAGATGTGGAGGGGGGGGGGGATATATCTATCCCCTAACGGTGAATTCACTCTTGTAAGAGTTATCAAGAGTTAAGTAATAAAGCTGGCCCCCTCCCTTCTCTCCTTCAAAAAACAGCGGAAAACCTATCTTTGCTTACAAGCATATGGAGAGGAAGAGAATTAGATGAAGCGAAGCTACTATCGGACTGCTGATTGAATAGTATAAATGCACTCGGGCCTTTTTAGAACATATTAGCCCATTTAACAACTTTGGCAATACAATCAATGCACATGTCTCTGATCCTTTGTGTTGTTTTGATATATTAATTTGGATATTTGATATTTAAGTTCTATGTTAGTTCTAATTTTCAATTGATTGTTTATTTAAATTATCATTATGCTTAAGTTGCTCTTTATGTGGGGTTATCTTAGGTTTTTATATTTGTATTTACTGTTATTGAGGCATCGAATATTAGCCTTTTTGTTTGTTGGAATCGACCTGGGGGACTCTGAGCGGATTCCAACAAACAAAAATGCAAACATCCGAATTAATGATCAAAACAACACGAAGGTTCACAAATGTGTGCATAGATTGTATGGCCAAGGTAGTTAAATGGGTTAATGTGATCTAACAAGAATCCTAAAGTTAGGAAAGACCACAAGGGCCATCTGGTTTTTGAGCAGAGACCATCATTGCTTAAAAACCAAAGCATTCCCAATAGATGGCCACCCAGCCTTTGCTTAAAAGCCTCCACAGTAGGAGATAGCCGCACGTTCGAGGGCAGCATATTAATTGTCAAACAGCTCTTATCTTCGTGGAAATTTGTTCCCAATGTTTAGAGGGAATCTCTTTTTTTGCATTTGAAGCCATTGCACCTTTTTCTCCAGAGCAACAGAAAATGAGCTGTCCTCAATGTGATGTCATTTCAAATATGTAAACATGGCATGTGACAGTATTGCACATGTGAATGTAACAGTGGTGCATTCAAAAAGAACTGGCATTAAGGGCTCCACCACACTCTTACTGTGCTATGATTCTACCTTAACTGACATGCCAATATCTATAGAATCATACAGTGGAAAGGACCATACAGTCCAATACCATTCTGCCAGGAAGGAACACACAATCAAAACACCCCTGACAGATGGCCATCCACTCTGAGGCAGAGTATTCACTGTTGAAAGGTTCTTACCATTTAGCTTGAGTCTCTTTTTCTGCAATTTGAATCCATTGCTTTGTGTCCTAGTCTCCAGAGTGGCAGAAAACAAGCTTGCCCCCTCCTCAGTGTAACATCCTTTTCAATATTTAAACATGTCTACCAGCTTTCTCTTTTTCAAGCTAAACATACACAGTTTGTTCTTTCCCCCTTTTTTGAAAAGAGGTGATGATAGTGGCATCCTTGAAGTCTGCTGGGATTTTCTTGGTCACCAACACTTTTTCAATGAGCTGGGGTAGTTGTGTCAGCTCAGGTCCACCCACTTTAAAGATTTCAGCAGGGATCCCATCAGGTCTGCTGGCTTTGTTATTTTTTTGTAGGCTGATGGCATTGCTGACTTTTTCCAAACTAGGCAGTGTTGCAAGCTCATCCCTGGTTTGTTGTTGCGGGATTTGTGAGAGAACCTCTTTGGCCACGTTGGAATTGCAGTTCAGGAGATTGCCATTGCAGTTAAAGTGGAATAATAGCACCATAACTGTCTGCAAAGAACCTTTGAGAAGCATCCTGCAGCTGGTGTTTGCATATTTCCATTCATACTGCCCATTTACACTCTGGCACAGAGACTGGCCTGTTTGCCTCTTGTGGAGTTCTAAAGGGCATTGTTGATAGAGGGTGGCATATATCAGAGGATGAGCAAGTGGCAGTATCCCCAATATTGTGGGTGATTTGATTAGGTCAGTAGTGTTTCTCCGTTGTTTTAGGGACTTTCACTGGTAGTGCGATGTCTTCCATGGATCTTAAATTATGGCTATTTCTCCCTACAGTTTTCACCTTTTCTCTTTCCAAGTCTATTCCTTCTTTCCGCCTGGTCTATACTGCATATCAGTTAAACAAGATGATAAGATGCATCTTTCTCTCATACTTTTGCCAGTCAGAAACTACCGTATTCTGTTTCTCTTTATTCCATCCTGACAATGAACATTGAGTAATAGGTTACATATTGGTTTTGCAGCATTCCCATTTTATAGTTTGTTTATTTACATGAAAATTACTAGACAGTGTACATTTAAAAGTAAACATATGTTCAAGTCTACATCTTCATTGTCATATGGTGAGTGAAACATATTAAAACCGTGCTAAATTAATAATGCGTAGTCACAACCTAATTTATAACTAGTTTATAGGTCAGTTATGTACTTCAACCTGACTTGAAGGTTGGTGGTTCGAATCGACAAGCTGAGTTGAGCTCCCATCTGTCAGCACTAGCTTCCCAAAAGGAATAATGAGAGAAGCCCCCTGCAGGATGGTAACACATCCGGGCATCTCCTGGGCAACATTTTTGAAGACAGCTGATTCTTTCACACCAGAGGCGACTTGCCTCAATTCGCTTCTGACATGATTTTTTGAAAAATGTCAGATGTAACGTTAACTATCAGAAATAAATTATTTTCAAAGCATTACATTTATAGCCAGGCTTTTGTCACAATGTGTTAATTATTATGACGTTCCACATTGCCATGTTCATGTTCAGAGTTCTATACATTATTAAACAATGTGTACTTGACTACAGATACAAATAGTTTAAATCACATACCATTTCTACAAATGGTTCTAACTTCCAGAAATATTAAAAGTACTCTTGTTTCAGATTACCAGCCAGAAGTAAATTTCTATTGGATGCGTGGTGAGACAAGGGTTCCACGTGGACATCGGAAGGGCAGAATAGACCCAGTGAGATTTCAGATTGATGATAAACCCAACTGTCAGATTCGTATAACGAAACAGCTTCCAGAGGTATGAATGTGGGCAGAGCAACCCATTGAATAGTTTGTGGGCAGGAAGGGGTGGAGTTAATTGAAGGAAGAACAGCAGCTTTATCCAAAGCTTTAACAATGTTGCAGGTCGGCCTGTCCCGTCCAGTCTCCCCATTGTTTCCTTCACATTGATCACAGTGGGAGTGAAATTAAATTGTGTTATCTTCTATGGATATGCAGCCTCTAGAGGTTTGCCCATAAGATTTTGGGACTCTCCAATGTTTGTAGTCTGGTATTGAAGAAGGACCTTTTTGTAGCCTTTCAAAAGAGCTGATGGGCTGGACTGGGACTATGAGGGTTTAACATTTACTTCCTGGACAAGCAATATCCAAATTGATAGATATCAAGAGTTATAATTGCTGTTGCCTTCAGGAGATGTGAATTGAATCTTAAACCAATATTTATTTATTTATGGTGTCGTCAGCAACCATTGTATTACAATTCTAACAGAGCAAAACAAACACACAGATTAAAAAGAAAAAGGAAGAAAAAAAACACACACAGATTCTGCAAATTTGGTATTTTGTTAAATGTCCTTTGAATTTGGTATTTGGTTAAATGTCCTTTGAATATTGCTTAGATTAGATTTTTCTGCTGTCTCAGCCCTGTTGAGGTTTAAAGATAAACCGAATTAGGTTATAAATATGACTGGAGCAAAATGAAGAAGTTGGTGATTAGAATATAATTGAGTTTCCACTAACTCTTTTATTCTATTATTCTAACTTCCAGTAGTTCTGGCACAGTATTCTTTCTTTTGGGGGATATCTGAATATAACAAGGAAAATGATTTTAATAGTATAATAGTATAACACAGTGTTCTTTCTTTTGCGGGGATACTTTAATTAAACAAGAAGGACAAATAATTGTAATGATATAATAGTATAGCATGAATACTACAGGAAATGAGAAATTGTAACATATTTAAATAAAGTGTTATGTAAACTCCATGTGACTCATTTTCCCCCCATTTTTATTTGACTTTTGGAGCCTACATTTCAGCATGAGCAATTTGGGAAATATGCACTCACTCAAGGGAGTTATTTTCTCTTAAACCTAATGGGAAATCATGAAATTTAGAGTAATTCAGATAAAATACTAAATGACGTCCATTCTGTATTTACAGGGGCTTTTTTTTTTTCCTATAACATTTTAATTGTCTGCTGACTTCAATTTTTTTTCCCTTTCAAGTTTGTGCCTCTGACTTATGAGACCCCTGAGGATATTCCTGTTATTAAAGTTTTACCAGATAAACTTCCATTGTTCAAAAGACAGTATTACAACAAAATATTCATAGGTAAGATTACTATGTCAAAATAATAACAAATAAATTCTCTATTCAAGATTTTGCCAATGTTCTGTATGTTTAGTCTAGTTTAACTATTATCTTGTTGCAATAATTTCACATTGACATAGCATAATTATACATTTTTACATTTAGAAAAAATACTTTAGATGTAGTTATGAAATTATTATAACAATATGCTTTATATGCCAGTGCTTCTATGTCTCAGGTAGTATTTTTATTATCTGTTGGTATTGCATAAAATTTTGATTAAAACAGTGAAGAAGTCTGTGCCCTGGTGCTCTTCTTAGACCTGTTAAATACTGTATTATATGGGAGCTGAAATAATTTTTCTCATACTGGATTTAGGATCGCAGATAGCAGATCCATGCACCTATGGACATACACAATTTCATTTACTTCCTGAAAAACTGAAAAGAGAGAGACTTATAGCACAGAATTGTGCTGACCAGATTGAAACTCCCTTCCGTGCTAATGCAATTGCAAGTCTTTTTGCTTGGACTGGAGCACAAGCAATGTACCAAGGTAAGTCAGTAATTAAAAGCTATCATACTTCCTGATTTGCACCTCTACTGAAGAAAATTCCATACACCATCCATATTAGTGATAGAAATTTTGACTTAATTCAAATTTTAATAGTAGCAAGTGAGTCATGTGGTTAAAAATATTAAATTGACATTATTGCAATGTTGGGAGCATAGTCTCCTGGGCTGTAGATGGTGCTTTTTGTGGTGAAATTCATCTTCATGGGTGATGCTCATCAGAAACTTTCTGTATAATTATTCTGAACTTTTCCATATTTGGAAACTAAGTAGAGGTGTACTATTCAGTACAACACCCATATCTGTGAAGATGCACTCTTGGATTTACCATTAAAATCTGAAATGATAGCACATAATAGTAAACCGTATTGTAATGAATTACTACCAGCATACCATAGAACAGTGGTTCTCAATCTGTGGATCCCCAGGTGTTTTGGCCTACAACCCCCAGAAATCCCAGTCAGTTTACCAGCCGTTAGGATTTCTGGGGGTTGAAAACCAAAACATCTGGGGACCCATAGGCTGAGAACCACTGCCATAGAATCATGTGGGAGGACCAAGAAAAAGCCTAGAGAAAACATCTCTTCGCCATCGCTAGGACATTCAATGACAGATTTCAGGAGAAGCATGCCATAGAATTATGCTGGAGAATCTGTAATATTCTTTGATAGAACATATTTTTGGATGTGTGTAAGTGAAATCATGGGTGCTGGTCCCAGTATTGTATTTACTTTGAGTTTACAATGAGGAGTTACTTGTTTTGCAAGTCCCAACATTAAAAAGGCAAAATGGCTCACTTGCATAATGTGAAGATATGAGAAGGTGGGGAGAATTTACACAAGTCAAGGTAGTGGTCATTGTCCAATCTGTAAATATACAATGCTGAATTGAATTAGATCCTCAACCCACCTTGTGGAGGTGGAGCACTTTCCTATCCTGCTGTTCCTAAAATCCTTTTCAGCTAGGCTGGAAAATCCTTCAGGTAAAAGGGAAGGAAGATAAAGTCCCCATGCTTCTGGTAGCATGCCATTTGATTTAGCCAAAGTTGTGTATATGAGTTACCAGTTTCAATTACATTTTCTTCTGGTTGGGCTGTTAGGACAAAATATTCATCCCTTTACAGCTTCATGTGAATTGTTATAATGTGCATCCCTAAGCTTTTTCGTTCTGGTTGCTTTTCTTTTGCTGGGAAGGTGCTTTTGTTCAGCAGCATCTCTTTTTCCTCCCATGTCCCCCAGGATTCTGGAGTGAGGCCGATGTGACCCGGCCCTTTGTATCACAGGCTGTGATTACTGATGGAAGATACTTTGCCTTCTTTTGTTACCAACTGAATACCTTGGCTTTAACTGCTGAAGCTGATAAAAATAACCCAAGAAAAAATATCTGCTGGGGAACAGAGAGTAAACCCTTGTATGAAGCAATAGAAGATAATAACGTGAAAGGTTTTAATGATGAAATTCTTCTTCAGTTGGTTAAATTGCTCTTAAACGGACCAAAGGATGCATAACTTTCATTTAATATGAATCATCGAAAGACGCTGAACAAGATCTAATGCTTGAAGTAAACATTTCCTGGACTGTTGAAAGTTCAACAATTTTTGATCACTGTTTGGGTACAAGTCTATTTGGGAAGACTGGGAATTTCACAGCAGCACTGATAGAGCTGTTAATTGCTTTTGATCATGAACTTATGTATGTAAATGAAGTTTCATTGCCATTCAAATGAATTTTTAAGTATAAGAACAGTGTGGTGTATATTCACAACTGTTGCAAAAATAGTAAAACACAGTATTAGATAGACCTTCTTTCAGCTGCACACTGCAATATATTCCCTCCTCTTCCTTTGTATAATGGCCAGGGATCAAGATGGTGGCAAAACAGTATTGCTTTTAATCTTCTATATCTTTAAGTCAGTCAACAAAGTTTTGTGATTTTCTTGAAAGTAGCAGGAGATAACTAAGGGTACTACTTGAACATTAAATGTACATAAAACTCTACACAATTGTATATCTCACATTAGTTTGCAATCACAAAAAGCAGAAAAATCTATTTCAGCCAGAAGCCTTGTTTGATTGGCCAGTTCAATATATATCAACTTCATTGCAGGAGGAAGATGCAATCCTATGAAGCAAATTCAACTGTGAAATAAAAATATTTATATTAGAATCATGGAGTTGGAGTGAGACCACAAGGGCCATCCAGTCCAACCTCCTGTCATTCTGGAACATAGAATCAAAGCATCCCCAACAGATGGCCATCCAGTCTTGGATTAAAACCTTCAGGAAAGGAGGCTCCACCACACTCCGAGACAGCATATTGCACTGCCAAACAACTCTTACAATCAGACAGTTCTTCCTAATTTTTAAGTGGAATCTTTTTTTCCTTCAAATTGAATTCCATTGTTCTTTGTCCTAGTTGCAAGGGCAGCAGAAAACAAGCCTGCTTCCTCTTCCGTGTGACCTTTCAAATATTTAAGCATTAGTGTCATGTCCCCTCTCAACCTACCTTTCTCCAAGCTATGAATACCCAGCTCCCTAAGGTGTTACTCATAGGGCTTGGTTTCTAAACCCTTGATCATTACCAGTAGCCACATCCAATTTGATAAAATCAATAGACATCTATAAAATTGACCCTCTTGAAAAAGAGTGCTTGAACTACAATTCCCAACATTCTTAGCTATTACTATGCATTATAGATACACTGGAACCTTCAGTCCAGTGTCTGGAGGGTAACAGAATCCTCACCTTAATGCGAAATCTTGGATGGTTTATGCAGTTGAGTTGTAAATGGCCAGATGCTTCTGCCAGTGAAAAGAAGGAGACAATATTTGACGAATTCCCTCTCTATCCCTCTGTACCTCCTTTCATAGTGCTCCAAAGCAGCCATAATCCTCTGAAAAAGATTTTTGAGAAGTGAGGGCTACAGCATGAAGAAATTGCCAAAGTTGCCTCCCTCCCTATTTTTCTTAGTGGAGTCTCTGCTGGAAAGGAGACAATATTTGACGAATTCCCTCTCTATCCCTCTGTACCTCCTTTCATAGTGCTCCAAAGCAGCCATAATCCTCTGAAAAAGATTTTTGAGAAGTGAGGGCTACAGCATGAAGAAATTGCCAAAGTTGCCTCCCTCCCTATTTTTCTTAGTGGAGTCTCTGCTGGATTAAAAAAAAACCCTTTCACCCTAACCTGTATAAAGGATCTAGTGAATCATGCTGCTGCTGCCTGATTAAAGACTTAAACTTTTAATTGTTTTTTTCCAGCATGTATACATATCCCAGGTGTATGCACAACAAATGGACACCCACTCCCCCAAGAAACTCAGTTTAGTAAATGTGAAACTGGGTGTTCAATTAGTGCAGGTAGGAACCAGTTTCCTCACACCGCAAAGTTCAAATGAATCTTGGTATTGGTTGGTTGTGCTGGTTTTGCCTTCATACAATCACATCGGATTTAACAAAACGCTTCAATTCTTTGAATGGATGGAGAGCAAATTAGACAAGTCCATAATAGAAACCGAGTTCTTATTGTGGCTTTAAGTAGAGCAAGATTAGCAAGAGATCCTGAAACCTCCCATCATATGTGGACTGATAGGATGGCTATCTCTCCATTCTTGTAATTAGAGAAATAATTGCCTTTCATTGGGTTGAACTCTTTTTACATTTGAGTCTTAAATGTAAAATCTTTCTACATATTATAATATGGAAAGGATGAACACCAGATGGCACTGTTTACCATTAGATTCATGAAATGCAGTTCTGGTGTGTTAAAATATTGTGCCTTTCAAAAATGCGTAGAACTGTTAAAAATAACTATTCGTTTACAAAAATCCGGTTTTGAAAACGGAAACAGCCTCTGGAAGCTAGTATTTAGATAGTCTCCCTCCAAGGAGGGATAAATTATGAACTTTATCACATTAATGTTGAGAAACGGTAAATCTGTATGTATCCTGTTGTTTATAAGAGCTGGATGCATACTCTATACACATGGGATGCATACAGGCCCCATCACACACTATTATTTTTTAAATTAATCTGCTTTGACTCATCAAACCACGGAAGACTTGCTCCATCCAATCTGTTCGATGTTCCCAATCGTCACTCTCTGACCTCTTCTCCGCTCCCCAATCTTTTCGGTAAGTATTATGTAGTTATGTATCCTGGACATCTCGAAGTACTGATATCATGAGAGTTGGAAAGATCTCATACCTGCATAGTACTAGAGATCCCCATTGCTACCTTTTGGTGGAAGCCAGCAAATCAATGAAATTGCACAGATTCAGTGTTCAATACATTTTTAAAGGAAATCTTTAGTTAGTAAATAGCTTTTCTGGAGATATTTTCCCAGCAACTACTGAAAGAGAAATAGCATCTGCTTCTCTCATGAAGAGTCCCGAGGTCAGCAGAATTCCCCCCAGACACGCCCTCAAGGAGACATCACATCACAATTGATGGAATGCATACATGATATAAGATCATACAGAATTAATTTAAGGTTAAAAAGATTTCAAATTCATTTTTAATTGCTCTATTACTGAGATCTTTTGCAGATGGTTTTCAATGGGTTGCTGGTGAAAAGGGACAAACGTGATGGGACCCATTGGGAACCACATGTAAATGAACTCAAAAATGGAGTATAGTTTAATGTGATGAAGTTCACATGCTTTAGGCGGCTTCAGTATATCATGGGATTTCGGGGAACATGCCACCAGCAAGTTCTCAGATGACTGAAAACTTGAATAGAAATAATTATTTCCCTGTTACAACTCTTAAACTTACAAATATGGTTAAAATTTTAAAAAATTATTTAGACCTACAGAAGGGGATTAAAATTTTTCACTCCCGCCTGCAGCCAGAGGGTGCTCACTAATGCTTCCTCTTCATCTTGGAAAGAAGTGATGAGCGGAGTGCCGCAGGGTTCCGTCCTGGGCCCGGTCCTGTTCAACATCTTTATTAATGACTTAGATGAAGGGTTAGAAGGCAGGATCATCAAGTTTGCAGACGACACCAAATTGGGAGGGATAGCCAATACTCCAGAGGACAGGAGCAGGATTCAAAACGATCTTGACAGATTAGAGAGATGGGCCAAAACTAACAAAATGAAGTTTAACAGTGACAAATGCAAGATACTCCACTTTGGCAGGAAAAACGAAATGCAAAGATACAGAATGGGGGACGCCTGGCTCGAGAGCAGTACGTGTGAAAAAGATCTTGGAGTCCTCATGGACAACAAGTTAAACATGAGCCAACAATGTGATGTGGCGGCAAAAAAAGCCAATGGGATTTTGGCCTGCATCAATAGGAGCATAGTGTCTAGATCTAGGGAAGTAATGCTACCCCTCTATTCTGGTTTGGTTAGACCACACCTGGAATATTGTGTCCAATTCTGGGCACCACAATTCAAGAGAGATATTGACAAGCTGGAATGTGTCCAGAGGAGGGCGACTAAAATGATCAAGCCCTATGAGGAGCGGCTTAAGGAGCTGGGCATGTTTAGCCTGAAGAAAAGAAGGCTGAGATATGATAGCCATGTATAAATATGTGAGAGGAAGCCACAGGGAGGAGGGAGCAAGCTTGTTTTCTGCTTCCTTGGAGACTAGGACGCAGAACAATGGCTTCAAACTACAAGAGAGGAGATTCCATCTGAACATGAGGAAGAACTTCCTGACTGCGAGAGCCGTTCAGCAGTGGAACTCTCTGCCCCGGAGTGTGGTGGAGGCTCCTTCTTTGGAAGCATTTAAACAGGGGCTGGATGGCCATCTGTCAGGGGTGATTTGAATGCAATATTCCTGCTTCTTGGCAGGGGGTTGGACTGGATGGCCCATGAGGTCTCTTTCAACTCTTTGATTCTATGATTCTATGTCAGAAACTGGTGCAAGTTCTCATACTTGGTTTCAAGTCTTTTGCTTTGCAGCTTATGACATGAAACAATGAAGTTCAGACATCAGTTTGAAACTTTTTTGAATTCATAAACTTAGTTTTACAAGTATTTTTATCCTGTACTATTTCTGCAAACCCTTGCTAACAACAGTGTGATGTCTTCACTATACAGGTTGACTGCCTCTAATCTAGGAGTAAGAAATACTCCAAAATTTCTCACATGAGTGACTGAGATAGTGACACCTTTGCTTTCTGACAGTTTAAAGTACACAAACTTTGTTTCATGCACATTATTAAAAATAGTAGTTATAAAATTGCCTTCACAATATCTGTATGAAGATTGCATGGAACTTAAATAAATTTAGTGTTTAGATTTGGGCTCCATCCTCAAGATATCTAAGGATATTCAAAATTTCCAAAAAGCAGAAAAACCCTGAAATGCCAAACACTTCTAGTCCCAAGCATTTCAAATAAGGTAGCTTAAAATTAAAATTCTCCAGTTTACTCTGTGCTTCCATTAAATTTCAGTTTCTACACACTTCAGGTTTGCTACCCTGATGTTTTGAACTCTTGTTCCCTGCCTCCTTTGTGTCTTCTGTAAACTTGGTCAGAATTGTAGTTTGGTAGACACACCAAACTGCTTTGCTTCTCTGCAAGGAGAACAAAGGGAGTGTATTTTTTCAGCTCTTTTATTGGATTTATAATTTGTGATCTGATCATGCATGAACTTAGAGACTCTCTCACACTGAGTATGCATCAATTTATTTACATTTGTGTCTGCTGTGACTTAAGGCAACCTATTTCTGCGAAATAGCTGTTTGTAGGTGCACAAGACATACCAGTCTGTTTCCTATGGCAATCAGTGATCACC